TGTGCTGTACAGTAGGACCTTGTTTATATATTTTGTATATAGCAGTTTGTATCCGCTAATTCCCAATCTCCTCATTTATCCCTCCCCACCTTTCCCCTTTGGTAACCAGAAGTTTGTTTTCTATCTGTGAGTCTGTTTCCGTTTTGAAATGAGTTCATTTGTGTCATTTTTTTTAAATTCCACATACAAGTGCTGTCAGGCGGTGTTTGTCTTTCTCTGCCTGGCTGACTTCAGTGCGTGTGCTCTCCCGTGCGATTCTCACCCCCGTGTGTCTGTGTAGGTGGGCTCTGTGTCACCGTCACAGAGACAGGCTCTGATCCTAGAGGAAAGGAAATCCACTAGGAAAGTTCCCACAGAGAACTCCGTGTTCTCAGGAAAAATAAATCTTGTAAAGACTGTGGCTGAAGGTGCCATGGAAGAAATGAATTTTCTGGAGTCACGTGAGAGAAGCGGACATCGTCAGACAGCACAGGTGGCATCTGGGGAAAGCGGCCGGTGATCGGTTAGACACCGGGGCGGGGCAGAGGCCGGTGGGCTCCTGAGGTTCAAGGCAAAACTGATTTCTTGCTACATCCTCTGACCTCCCGAGGCCTTTGCTTCCTTCTAAAACTTTTAAATGTTGATTTTATGTGAGTCTGACACACATGCAGAAAAGTACACAAACTCTAAGTGTAAAGCTTAATGAATTTTCAGACAAAGTACAGCCGTGTAACCAGCACCCCTCCCCAGATCAAGAAACAGAACCAAGGTGTCTCGTTTCCATCTATCTTTATTTTAAGACAGACTCAGGTGGATTTTAATTCCTTAGTGCATTGAAATGATCTCTTTATATCTATGGATTGTAAATATTTCTCTATGGCAAGAATTGTTCTCTGTTCCCCCAGCATCTAGAATAATGGTTGGCAAGTAGAACCCCCCCAACATATACACATGCGTATGTGTGTATTTGTATATACATGTGTGTGTGGAAAGAGAGAGTATCTATCTGTTAAATGAGTGTATGTGTGCCCCATAAATAGGCTTTTTTTTTTTGCATTTTGTGGGAAGGAATATAGCTTATGATTAA